AGCTTTCCAGATTCTGGTCCCATTCTAGTTCCTCCTTGTGTCCCACATTCTGCCTATGACAGGGGTGCTACCCTTTGCTTGTCTGTTCATGAAGGGCACTCACTGTTCCTCTCATGTCTGAAATCCTTCTCTTCCTGCAGTCATTGTTCACCTCCTCTAAAGTGTCCCCAGATTATCAAGCATCCTGCCACAATCCACTGTTCCCACCCTCCTACACCATCCCTGTCCTGCCAAGTGGGAAAGGCTTACTGTTGTTGGGAGGATAATGCCAGCTTCACCCCTTGTCCACAGGCATCAGGTTCACTGAGGCGGCTGAATTCAGTAAGCTGGTGTGGTTTTACTGTTCCCCTCTAGTCCTGGAGACTGTCCTGTTATGGCCAGTCACATTCAAGAACTAAAGAGTCTGGTTCCACTTAAATCACATCTTCTGTCTGCCTCTGAATAAGGCTGTTATCCAGGCACAGAAAATTGCCCTGGGATGAGGAAACCCATGGTGTGCTCAAGCTCCTTGTCACATTTTCTGTCCTTTGTCACGGATACCACCCCTCTCCACAATACTGACTTGCAGGCCAGAGCAGGTGAAAGATGGCAAGAAATTGACAAGGGCTATCTGGGAATGAGTTATTTCTGTCATTGCCTTCTAAGTGACAATTGTCCCAGTGCTAGGTCTGGGAACACTTTGGTGGTTTTGGAGTGGGCTCTGACCTTGCTTAATTCCTTGAGGCAGATGTGGCCTCTCTGGCAGGACATGTCTGGCCTATAGGTAGTGGCAGGTCACCTTCATGACCTTTCTGACTCCCCTGCATGCTGTCCTTCCAACCCACCTGGTCTCGCTCTCTCTTTCCCACACTGTTCTCTGCTCTTTCTAACACTCTACCCTAAGGCTTCCCCAAGGGGACTTGGGCCCCAGAGACCATACTTCCTAATGCCACCTAACATGGGTTGGAGAGTACAGAGGAGGCCTTTGAGGTGGTCTTAGTCTAGGAAGATTTGAGCTTAGCAGGTATCCTGCCTGCTTCTTTTCTGTCCTCATTTAAAAAAGTATCTTTCTTTTTATTTATTTTTGTCTTTTTTATTTTTCACCTGGCTGTCCTGGAACTCTCTCTGTAGACCAGACTGGCCTCCAATACATAGAGATCCACCTGCTTCTGCCTCCCGAGTGCTGGGATTAAAGATGCACACACCACCACTGCCTGCCAAGAAAAAGGTTTCTTTTGAGAAATACTGTGGGGGCTGGTGAGATGGCTTAGTGGGTAAGGGTGCTTGTTGCCAAGTGGCCTGAGTTTGATCTTTGTAAACCCCATGATAGTTGGAGAGAACTGTTCTCTCTGTCTCTGTCTCACTCTTTCATACACACACACACACACACACACACACACACACACACACACACACACACGTTTAAAAAGAAGAGGAAGGAGCTGCAGAAAAGGTTTAGTAGTTAAGAGCACCTACTGTTCTTCCAGAGGACCTGGGTTCAATTCCCAGAACCCATATGGTGGCTCACAACCATTTGTAACTCTACACACAGGGGATTTGCCCTCCTAGGCCACCAGCATTCACATGGTATACATACATGCAGACAAAGCACCCATACTCATAAAATAAATACATAATTGTTTTTTAAAAAATAAAGGAAAAAAGTTAAATGCTCCTGGGCTGATGTGGAGCCTGCTCCTGGCGACTAGCTGGCAGTAAGTGGGAGATGCTTCTTTTTCTGTTGCCAAGGCCTTAGGGTGCACCTGGATACTCTTCAGGGGGTGTCTTAGGGTTACTGTGACTATGATGAAAAACTATGGCCAAAAGCATACTGGGAGGAAAAGGGTTATTTCTCTTAACACTTCCACAAGCACAGTCCATCATGGAAGGAAGTCGGGGCAGGAACTCAGTGGAGGAACCTGGAGGCAGGAGCTGATGTAGAGGCCATGGAGGGGTGCTGCTTCCTGGCTTGCTCCTTATGGCTTGCTCAGCCCGCTTTATTTTTTCTTTCCTTTCCTTTTTTGGTTTTTCGAGGCAGGGTTTCTCTGTGTAGCCCTGGCCACCCTAGAACTTGCTCTGTAGACCATGCAGGCCTTAAAATAAAAGATTCTCCTGCTTTTGCCTCCCCAGTGCTGGGATAAAAGCATGTGCTATCTCTGCCCGGCTGAGCCTGCTTTCTTTTTTTTTTTTAATTTTTATTTTTCATTTTATTAATTCAAATTAGGAACAAGCTTGCTTCACATGTCAATCCCTTTTTTAAAGACCTTACATATTTAATACAGTGCGTTACCCCTGTACAAATGGAAAAAAATTAAGTTCAACATTTCTAGACCAATACCTGAGCCTGCTTTTTTATAGAATCCAGGACCATGAGTCTGGGAATGCATGACCCACAATTGGCAGGGCCCTTCCTATCAATCACTAATTAAGAAAATGCTGATGGGCTGGTGGTGGTACACACCTTTAATCCTAGAACTTGAGAAGCAGATACAGGTGGATCTCTGTGAGTTCAAGGCCAGCCTGGTCTACAGAGTGAGTTCCAGGACAGCCACAGATATACAGAGAAACCCTGTCTCAAAAAACAAAAGAAAGAAAGGAAGGAAGAAAAAAGAAAGAAAGAAAGAAAGAAAGAAAGAAAGAGCCCTACAGACCTTCCTACAGCTTCATCTTATGGAGCCATTTTCTCAATTGAGGCTTCCTCCTCTCAGATGACTCTAGGTGATGTCAAGCTGACATAAAACTAGCCAGCACAAGGGGATTTCCTCTGAACTTCCTGGAGACAGGAAGGAGCTTGCCATCATCCCTCACACAGGCTTACTTGACACTGAATAGTCCTCTTGACACTGCTGTGGGAAGGTTTTTCTCATCCCACCTCACAGATTGGAAAACTGAGGTCAAAGGAAAACAACAAAGAGCAAGACAGACAAACGTTTACCTCAGGCCTGGATATGTCATGTCCATGTCTTTGCCATTCTGTGGGAGAGAAGCAACTGGACACCAATAGATGCTTTCATGCTTACTCTCTAGGTGGGGTGGGGTGGTAGGGACTGTCCCTTCTACTGGTGGGACTGGCAGGGACTAAGCTTGCAGGAGGACTGAGGCCCAGGTGGATGGGAGCCCTGTCAGAAGCTCTGGCAGCCAGCTTTGCTCCTGCTAATGTCTTCTTTGGCTCCTGCAGGCTGCTTCTTGGCTGTGTTTTGGGGACACAGCTGTCCCCTACCCTGCAGTCTGGCAGGCTGCAGAGCTGCATGTCTCATCTAGGAGTGCTACTTCGTCTCAGCTGATCAAGCCACCTGGGAGAACTCTTAACTTTTCCAGGCCTGTCCTGGTTGGAAGTGGAGGGGCAGGAAGGTGCCCAAAGCAAAGAGGCATCCATCTTCCAGTGCCGGAAGCATCTTGGCTTTGGGATGCTCTGCGGGTCGAGTCTCCGTGGTCAGACTTCAGCCCTTACTCTCTGCAGTTCTGTCTTCTTCTGCTCTGGGGTCCACTGGGAGTTCTGACCGGAGACGCAAGCCGAGTCTACCCCTACCAGTCCTCATTCATGAAGCCCTTACTGCCCAGTCCCAACGCTCCTGCCGATTCCCTCTACCGTGCCCTGTATCAGCCTTTCCCCAGGACTATCCTCCACCACAGCCACTTCCTGCTCTCCTAATTTTCCTGCTTACTTACTGTATCTGTTCATCCTACATAGCCAGTGGAGCTTCTGGACACCACAGACCTCACCAGTTCTAGAGCCCTGCATGGCTCCCTGGTTCTCTGGAAGGAGGTCCAGCTCTTCCTTCATCCTGGCATTAAAGCTCCACATGCTCCCCCTGCACGTCTATGTTTCAGGACCCTTCAGGATTCCTAGAGCACACACAATGGCCCCCTTTCAGTCCACTCATCGTTACTCCTTGTCCATATGTCTAAACCATTCTGGGCCTCTGGGGCAAGGTCACATTAACACTGTCTCTTCTTGGGGTCTTCTCTTATTGGTGGCCTGATTGTCTGTTCCCAGTCTTACTGCTCCTCAGTACTCTCATCCTTGAGTCAACTGGTTTTTTGTGTTTTGTTGTTGTTGTTGTTGTTGCTTTTAATATTTTCTTTGAGATAGGGTTTCTCTATGTAACAGCTCTGGCTGTCCTGGAATTAGCTCTGTAGACCAGGCTGTCCTTGAGCTCACAGAGATCAGCCTGCCTCTGCCTCCCAGTGCTAGGATTAAAGGCGTGTGCCATCACCATCTGGATGGGTCAAGTTATTTGATTCTGATATTCTCTCTCTCTCTCTCTCTCTCTCTCTCTCTCTCTCTCTCT